CGGCACTCGCTGTGTGCCTCAGAAAACTGTTACATGTAACAGACTATAAAATAAATTGGACTAGTTTGCATTGTTAGCACGTGTATATCTGTCAAAGCAGCTGCAGAGGTGTCACAACGTCGTCTTCAGACTGGCCCATTCATTAGTCGAGGTATGTTTACTCGTTACATCGATTTCTAATTTGTTTTCATTAAAGGCTGGTAATAGTTTAAGCATGGCATGTGCAGTAAGGGTGGAGTTGACATGTGTGCAGATCGGTGACTCGTTTGATTTCATTTGATATTTTACAGAAGGATTTTTGCAGTTGTTACTTTCATTATCACTTACATTATTCATCATGGCAAATATCCATTACGTTTATCCGTATAATCTTCCTATATATGACAATGTAAAGTTCTTCAGAACCTCACAAAAATATTTTGTGACCAAACGAGATGGGACGAAAACATTAATTATTGAGTTTTGGGGGGTCAGTAAGTCGTGCAAAAAGCATTTTATAGGGAAGTGTTAATAAATAAAGTATCTTGCAGATTGGAATTATCCAGAAGATAACTTTATCTGCAATGAAATTCCATGAGCAAATCTGAAACAAATAAGTCAAATGAATTAAATAATAATTTCATAGCGAGTAAACAATGCTTATTATAACCACACATTGATTGGTGTCAATAGCTCTGAATAGGTGTCTCTCACAAATGTATTCTGTAATATGAGCTTGATTATTACAACCCCATTTAGCATTGTTTTTGATGTGATATGTTCAGTTAAACATTACATCCACATGCTTAATTTATCAACAATATCTTGATATCAGCATTGAAAGGAACTGTTTACATTTTAGAAGTATATCACACTTGGTCTCACATGTGTTATGTATTTTTGGCAGTTGTAACAGATCCACGTGTTTAAGAGGAGAAAGAAGGAATGAATAGAACTCTGTATCACCACAATTACCATTGACATCAAAAGCAACACAAATTGAAACAGATCTTCAGATTTCTTTTATCATATGGTGCCAAGCCATACATGGCCAATGAAGAAACAACAAATATTGCATACACAGTTATAAAAGCCCTACACATCATACTTTGGACACCTGCTAGAACAGGAAATGCTTGTCATCAGCAAGGTTTTATGGAACTTCTTGGGACATCTTGGGACGCTCAGATAATTCAGTGAGAATTTAGATGAGTGACCATGAACATATTCCAGTTCGTACTGTTTCAGTATTTCTTCAGGCTTGGCATCTGGGTAATGCAAAGAATGTTTCATATTTTATGAGTAATTATGTGCTTGGAATAAAATTACAGAATAGTTCTAAAACTTGTTTATTGCTTTGAGTGTAGATAGATAAAGCACAAATTGAATGGTTTGGAAGATTTCTGATTTTAGCCATGATGTTGATCTGACATTAAATATATAACAATAAATGTATGAGAATATAATTTCAGTGTATATATGAAAGCTTTCTAAGTGAGTGAGTTGGATTTTACTCCACTTTTAGCAATATTCCAGCAACATAATGGCGGAGATAGCAGAAATTGGCTTCACACTTTGTCCCCAAGTGGGGAATCGAACCCAGGCTTTCAGTGTGACTGGTGAACGGTTTAACCACTAGCTATAGGCTACCCTACTGCCCCTGCTTCCATGAAAACAACATGCTTACCAATGAATATTAAACTTAATCAATGGCATAGATATGACTTTCTACATGAAATGAATTTTTTGGTTGAAATATGAAATGAATTTGTTTGTAGTTGCTGTAAGAATTCAGCATGCAATCACACTGGTTCATAGCACAATAACCACTACACATGTTTGGTTGTCAGTACCTTAAACCATATTAGTCAAGCTGTACAGTGGAAAATATGGAATGTCACTTATTAAACTGCCATATTGGCAGAACATTTGGAACGTACAAGTTACGCAAAATAGGTGTAAAACACTGCAGGAATCATACTCATGTTGCTATCAGTCAGTGACTGCAGAATCTAGTCGTGACATAGCATATGTACACATTTACTTTCCCCATGTATTGGACAGTATCTTTTACAATCCATAGAATGTCTTTTAGTAATTACTCTACATTAGAGTGTATTTGGCCTTGCATTTTGGGTACATGTGACTTGAATATGCTGTGTGCAGCTTCCTCGTTTTGGTTACTACACTGCAGAACCTCACCCCTGCATAACCAAGAAGAAAAGAACGTTCATGTGTTGTACATCATAGTGCATGGTTCACAGAACAACTATACTGGCCACATAAAGAAACTGTGCACACAGAAAATGCCTTCAGAATTGGAATACAACACAGCAAAAACGAAATGATGTAGACACTTTATAAGCTTAAGTATCGGACCACATGAAATTGTCAAACGAACATGAACAATATCCGTAACGATGACGTCAGAAGTTCAAAATCGAGTAGGGGGTCACACGACGAAGTCACAAAGTCAATAACACCATGTGCGTGAAGCACAGCAGTTCATCGACGACGCATAGAGGCTAGCAAATTAGCATTGAAGGCGTGGGGAATGGTCTGGGGCGTGGTCACTGCTGTCTGGAACCTGTATTTGGGATGAGTCACCCGAATCCACCTGTCCTGTCTTGGCGTCGTTACGTCGGGAACGCCTAGAACTTGGGTGGTCGGCGACGTCATTACTGTTTCGATAACGCCTGACCCATGCAGATGTCGTGTTACGATGGCATTGGAAATGTGCTGCCACCTCATTCCTGCTCGAACCATTCCAATGGCTTCATGACGTTGAGCAGATGTTAATCTTGGAGTTTCACATGTTGTGTGCAGCTGTACGGGCTGCACGTGCAGTAACACAATGCAAGGCCATACTCCACCGTCAATCACGTCACGTCGCCTGGCACATGCATGAGCGTTTGATTGTCTCCAATACTTGCTATGTTCACAAAGGTATTTATGTATAAATACGCTGTGTGCCTATATTTATATTTTCTGTGTGCACAGTTTCTTTATGTGGCCAGTATATGTACACAGATGAAATACAAAGTGTAAAAGTAATATTGTCCAACAACCAGTTTATATTTATCACTGGCTTAAAATGATGTTCACATAATTTGATAAATAATTGTTCCATGATGAATATTCATATGGGTGAGGGTTTTGACAGTTTTGTTTTGAATACCTGACAGTACAAACCGAAATAATTGTAACCATGCCATCAAGGTTATTTGTCGAGCTGTTGATTGATCTTTGAATTTTTGTGTAAATGAAAAAGTCACTACAAATGGGAAAGTTTAAGTTTCGTATATATTATTTAAATATTTTTTGTCATTATGTTATGAGAACTGCTATTTATTCAGGATAAATTAATTTGGGGGTCAATATACTTACAGCACGGCAAAGAAAAACAATTTGACATGCACAAGTCCCTATCATCTATCCAAAGTTAGTTACTGAAAATATTGTTGCAGCATAACAGATGTATTTAGAAAATAAAAAACAAATTAACAAACAAAAATATTTTAATTTTGAAATGACATACTTCAATTAAAAATGGAAATTAGTGAGTGTAATTTTACGCTGCACTCAGCAATAGTCCAGCTACATGGCGGCGCTCTGTAAATAATCGAATCTGGACCAGACAATCCAGTGATCAACAACAGGAGCATCGATCTGCCCAACTGGGAACCGATGACATGTGTCAACCAAGCCAGCGAGCCTGGCCACCCGATCCCGTTAGTCACCTCTTACGACAAGCATGGGTTACTGAAGATCAATATTCTAACCCGGACCTTAACGGGTAGGAAATGACAGAGTCAATGTGGCCAAATACGAAAAGAGCATAAACTTGATAAAGTTGGTAACACATGACTGTTTTATTAAATAGCAATATTCTAATTAATTATTTAATGAATTGAATACATAAAATTTACTCAAATACATTTCACGTTAACCATGTCATTGATTTTCCACATATATATTTTTTGACAAATATTGGCCGGTGTACTGAAAAGAAACACGTTTAGAGAAAGAACTGCACTGGGTATCAAAACTATATCATATTTTTAAAAAGTACTCCTACGTTTTCGAATTGTCTCATGGTTATCAGTTGTCGGTAAGGAACCGATAATCCCTGAAGGAATAATAAATTTCCGATCTTATTGTCCCCAAATTAGCTAACTATTATGACTGTCAACAGCTGTGACAGCCAAACTTGGTTGTACACTTGGTCCGCTCTAGTAAAGTAATATTTGGCGGTCGCGTAGTGTGGCACCAGATCTGGTTCTTGAGTAGTTGCTTGTCACCGGAAATCTAGTAGCGGAAGTGGCGCCTGGCGAGACTTAAGGGTCCTATTTTTATTTTAATTTCCTCCAAATTCACTTTTGTCTTTTCGACATTGGGTTCCCTGACGATCTTATTTAAGGCATAGTTCTACCCAGGAAATATTTCTTCTAATTTCAGTAACCGGTTTTTCTTTGGTCTTTTTTTGTTATCATTAGATGTTTTTTTCTTTAGAAACTGTGTGAAGTTCCTCCAAAGTTCATCATAAATAAAATGAAAGAAAATATACTTAGGATTTTCGGAAAGATCTGCAACTGAGCAAGAAGAAGAGTTAGGGTTAGAAAATATTATTATTATTATGTTAGTTGTAGGTGTATAATTCTTTCAAATAAATAAATAGAAACAAAAACAAAAGCAGCAATACACTATACAGGGGGCACGAGTCGCTATTCGGCGTGTCCCGGAATAGCACGAGTTGGTCATGAATGGGGATATGGCAATAGAAGCTCCCCCTCACCCATCTCTGCTCCACTGCTCAACCAGAAAAAAAATTGAAAAGATTTTCAGAGTACATATATGTCTATTTATCAAACCCTAAGTTTGACAATTTGCAGATTTTGTTTGGAGGCATGTATTCAGATAAGTAATATTTCAGAATTATTTTAAATAATTATATATAGTAGAATTCATTTGTCAAATTGCACTGGCATTTGTCACTTGGGTGAATGTGCTTGCTCCACATTTAAATGTTTCTTACTCAATCTGCTAATGGTAGATCCGCCCAGGCCTCAAGCGTCCCACAACAGTTTCAGGCAAGGGCTGGTGTGGTCATTGAGAGCCAACCATCGGCCCTGAAACACTCCCCAGTTACAAAAGCTGCTTTCTCCGAGGCTAGGAAGGCCACAATGTGACCGATTTCCTCTGGGGTAGCAGCTCGACTAACTGGCGTCGCATTTACCAGACCTCTATGCAACTGAAAAAGAGACAGTGAATGAAAGAGTGAAATGATGTAGTATATATGCTGCAATCAGAGTGTACTTTAAGCTCTTGTACTATACGGTCACCAATCGTTACCCCGTCCCACTTGGGAAGTCCGCGACTTACATAATGGGATGAGGTGTTTGTTGTAGGAAGCGACTTATAGGATTGGGAGGTTAGGTTAAGTGTCGTTTTATTGCAACTTCAGTGAACGTCTCATGTTATCAATCACAGGTTTCCACACAAGTTTTGGTGGGTTAAATGCACTTACCTGATCAGCTTCTTCTTTAGTCAACAACTTGGACACTAATGGACTGGGTACATAGCCTGGACTAAAACAATGAAAACAGCATAGTGAATACAGCTATCAACATGACCACACCACTACAGCAAATATAACACTTAAACTAAAAACAGTAGTCACAATGTGTCACAATAAAACAATAGCACAGGTAAGAGTGTATGGAATAATAGCAGGAAATCAAGTATAACATAATCGATAACAACCACAAACAAAAAATACAACTTTCAATTCATATTTAAGGATGTGATATACATTTGCAATATTTTGTACCACTCTTTTTTTCACAATGTCGGATACATCTTCCTTGTTTTACTATGAATAAAGATCATCTTTGTATAAGAGACTTACAAAAAGACACGTGTTCAGCTGATTTGCTCACGTGTCATAAAACTACCTATTTTATGCCAGTTTCATCTTCCTACATAGTGCCCAATACTAGTGATTGCGATGATACAGTTGTAAAACTTTTGAGATGCCTCAACACAAGATGATATGTGTACTGAATAATATTTATCTATGATTGACTCCAGAAAGGGACAGTGTGTACCTCTGACAATATTAGTGACAACCTAACGAATACTGTATTTGTGGAAGTGAGTAAAATGGTTTCATTTACCGTGCAACCAGATGGAACAAAATTAAAACACATGTGATAGAACACATGGTGCCTATTACTCAGCTTATTGTTTCTCATTTTAACCGAACTCAAATAGGACTACATACAAGAATCAACATTAAATATGAAATATCTCAAACAACAATTCTTGCTTTTCAGGGTGTACTTACTTGATTGAATTGACACGTACCCCGTGCGAAACCAGTTCTGTGGATGGAAATGCTGTTTATTGCTTAACAACGCCTGGTAATATATCGCGGTCCTTACAGTGTGTGGTCTGCGACAGGTATAGATCGTTCGGGAAAATGTCTAACGCGGATTCTTTATGGATCCATTTCACATGCATTTTTTTTTTAAAGTGTTCAAAACATTTATGCTATCAGATTTTGCTTCCCATATTGATCGCGTAATTCGGTTAACCGTGTTGTATATAATTGGATTATCGTACGACACAATTCTCCACAGCAAACCACAGCAGCTTACCGGAATTGGCCATCCTAAGTTTTGTAAAAGGTTTCACAAAATTACCATGAGCAAGGTATCTTGTAAATTTGTCTAGGCCTGCCTTCGATATGGAGTAAACACCTGCATCCCACAACTGCAAAGGAAAGAAGGTTGAAACTTTGGTTGAAGGCATTTGCATGATATACGAAAATAACAGAAGCAGCCTGTTAACTTAATTTACATAGATGTGAACTGATTTTGAAGAGGTTGAATCTGATATTGCCACCACTAATGCTAACTTTACTCACACAGCACTCATTGTATCACACATCAACTTAGCTTAGTGGAATACATACCTAATGCCTGTTCTGAACGACAGGTGGTATTAAGGGATTTAGTTTCATAAGGTGTGAATTGGTCTTGCATTTGCCGACATCACACTCATAATCATAGTTGTGGTTCAACTCGAAGTATTGACCACATTTCCTGAAACAAAAAGATACACACATAACATCTTCAGGAGGAAAGCTGGAAAATATCATGTAATATTTCGTTACTTTTGAATATGTTTGATGGCAGCCTCAAGACACACCTTTTCACTGAAACGATGAGTTAAACAATTTGTGATGAAAACGCCTCTTTCCAGGATATACAGTATATAACAATTTGTTCTGCTGTACAGCATATAGACCAGTGAACAATTTATTTTGTGTATAAATCTTCAGGCAATTTCTTTCTGTTGTTATTTGTTCGGAATAAACTGTTCCAAAAAGGAAATAAAGGCCTAAAACCACACTCATGCATTCACATTCATGTAGAAGATACCTTTACTTTCAATTAAATGCGGTGCAACTAACTGTGTCAAAAACAAAGGTGCCTCTATGTTTACAGCCATCGTTGTGTCGTACTTTTTCTTTGGTCACTGATGTCAGCTGACTCAAACCTGCGACCCCAGCATTGTTCACCTAAACACAGATATGATACAATTTGTTTGTTTGTGTTCTGGTGTAACGCCATACTCTGTAAACAATTATAAGGCGTCTGTTTGTAAATATTCCAGTCCGGAAAACCTAAGGATTCATAATATCAGCAACGATTCAAGCCCTCAAGGTATTATGAAACGTTATCCACCATTTAACCAATGACCATCAAATCTGTTAAAACGCTTCTTACGACTGTGGTTTAGCCTAGTGGTTGAAGCGTCCGCTCGTCTCACCGAAGATGGCCTGGACGTAAGCGATATTACCAGAACGTTCCCTCAACGCCCTGAAATCTTCATGTGACGGGTGTATGGATATTTATCTAATGCTGTTGGCATTGTCATCTTCTAATATAATCTAATCTAATCATTTTGTATAGCGCAGAAAGGTTCCAGGTATACTGTTCTCTTGCGCTTTCACATGTTCACAGTATGTACACTGTATATACACAGTGCCTCTTAGTTTAACAGTCATAGGCAATTTTGAAGAGATGTGTTTTTAAGTTTGTCCGAAATGTTGATCGCGTTTCTGATAGCTTGATGTTGTCTGGAAGAGCATTCCAAATAGATGCTGCTGCGCATCTGAAGCTTCGTTCGCCCATTGCTATATTACAGTGAGGCTTTTGGAGAAGGTCCTTGGGCACGCAGTGTCCGGCTTGGTGTGTGAGGCTGAACAAGGGCTTTGAGGTAAGAAGGAGTAGAGTCTGACTTGAGGCATTGGAAGGTGTGGAATAGGAGCAGAGTCTGTCTTGAGGCATTGGAAGGTGTGGAATAGGAATTTGAACTTAATTCTGCTGGAAACTGGTAGCCAATGGAGTTGTTTGAGAACAGGAGAGATATGTTGGTGCTTAGATGTCCTTGTAATGATTCTGGCAGCTGTACTTTGGAGGAGTTGAAGTTTCTGAAGGTGTGTTGAGGATATGGTATATAACGGGGAATTAGAGTAATCTAATCTTGAGATGATAAGTGAGCTAGCATTTTAGTTGAATCTTGAGAAAGGTATGTGCGGAGTTTTCCAATTTTACAAACTGCTGCTACTTGATTCTTCATTGTCATGTTGGAGTCAAAAACAACGCCCAGATTCCGTAACTTGTTTGCATGATGTTTCTTGTGTATCTCCAATTCTGCCTGTAATTTTAGAATCAGGTATCTTCTGTAGTTGTTGATGGGAGCCGACAAGAAGAACTTCAGTTTTCTCCTCGTTCAATTTAAGGAAGTTAATTTTCATCCAGTTGCAAACTTTATCAATGCATTTTTCTAGTCTGACAAGTTCAGTGGTAATGCGGTTTGGTCTCGCAGCAATAAGGTTCTGTGTGTCATCAACGTAGCCATGGAAAGGCATTCTGTAACTTGTGAAGATACCACCAAGAGGAATGATGTACATTGTGCAGAGCCGTGGGCCCGAAACCGATCCTTTGGGCACCTCATAAGACAAGGGACATGGTTTAGATGTAGAGTTACCGATTGTTACACACTGAGTCCGGTGATGTCCAAAAATTCCGTGTTTGTCCAGTTTTCCTTGTGGTCAGACGCAATGACTTTGGTACATGCGTCTCACCGTATTCCTACAGCATGGATCGTTGCTTAAACTATCAATCACAGGATGTTCTGGTCCTGCAACTGTCATGTGGATGGGCCATAGATTTTAGTGGTGATAAACAAGTTACATGAACCATCACAGTTTAAACAATATTTCCAAATGTTGATGTTATTTTGTTCTTGTTTGTCGTCACAAACAGTTATGACCCATCCATTAGTTTAGTCGAACGTGTCTGTCCCCGGACCGATCATCTTTAGTCGAACGTGTCTGGCCCCGGACCGATCATCTTTAGTCGAACGTGTCTGGCCCCGGACCGATCATACATAGATGGCCCTGCAGACTCCCAGTGTCAAACAACAACTATCGTGATAGTACACCGACGAGTCAGGTGATTGTGTTATCTACAGCAGGAGCGGGTCATGTTACAGATATCAATGTTGACACATGTACACACTCGTTCTACAGTTGCCATTTGTGTCATGACTCAACCTTACATCACGACTTGGCACGTCTATTTATGGACAGTAAGTCAATATCCATGACTCGATAGCCTGACCACCACTTCCATCCATTACGAAAAAAGGGATATCACCTCTGACCTGGGATCATCCCCAAGATACCGTTTTACTGTCGGAGGAAAGATAGGCTGATTGAATTTTGCAAAACGCCGCAAGTAACATTATTTTAAGCTGTACCCCGAATGGAAATCTGAAAGAAACGGGTATACTGACGGTATTGTCATTATTCATAATCTCTTCCCTTTGTGTTTGGAATAGTATATTTGGACTAGTCCACTAATTAACGAAGGTAACAGTGTAGGGAACCTCAGTGCAACCAACCATAACCTTTGTTATTTTAACTTTTGGGACGTCTAACTTTTGGGAGGACCCCGCCATGATGGATCCACACTCGACATACAGGCAGCTGGTGTCTATTTACTCCAGACATTTTGTTCAGCACCGTAATTAAATCCTCAGGCTAAAGGACCGCGTCCTGTCAATGTAATCAACTGAGTGTAGCTATTATCGCTCTGAGAGCGAGAGGCTGTTGTGTGTTTTTAGACGATGTAGACTTGACGATACTCTTAAAGATTATCTAAGGGCAAAAAATAAATTTTCTTCTGTAACGAGGGATAAGAAGCGAGCTTACCAAGATAAAATGTCTATAGCTTTGAGAGATAATTTATATAATAGTAGGGCATTTTGGAAGTTATTAAAACGTTTTTCATCCACAGTTCCAGTTACCCCTAGTATTTCATTACAGGAGTGGCATGACTATTTTTGCAATATGTATATGACGCCTGGTAGATCGTCAGTTAGTGATAGTGTGGCCAATAGCTATGAGTCCAAGTTTACTGATAGTAATACCACTGCTATTCTTGACTCGCCAATCTCGGCTGATGAGATAATGGTGGGAATAGATGCACTCAAGTGTTCTAAATCAGCGGGGGATGATAAGCTTATTGCGGAATTCTTTAAGCACTCTTCGGATGTTATTATTCCATATCTTACTATTTTATTCAATATGCTTTTTGATAAAGGTATATTCCCAGCTCAGTGGTCAATGGGTATAATAGTTCCTGTTCATTAAAAGGGTGATGTCAATAAGGTGTCCAATTACAGAGGGATTACAGTTCTCAGTGTTTTCAGTAAACTATAGTTTGGCATGAAATGCATGTGGACCCGGTTTTTTGTAAATATCTCTTCATCCAATGACCCAATCGATCTCAAACTGTGCAAGTGGATGTTTTGTCAGACAACCTAATCACATTGTAAATCACCGATTTGATGCATTTGTATTAAAGAATCTGTCTATGTAACTGTCAACAAAATAAACAGCAGAACGCAGAATGCTTGCAGAGGGAGGGAGCCAATGACCTGTAACAGCGGCAGTGGTGGGTCATAAAGGTAAATGCACGTGCAGTTCATGATAGTTACCTGTGCATTGCACAGTGATAGACCGTTTGGATCATTCACATTGACTACTTCTAGCTGTCATCATGAAAGCTTATTCAGATGATGCTAAACGTTTAATGAGAAATGTGTTGAATTTGTTTTAAAAAGAGAGCAAACGTAGCAAACCGATTTATAAGGTGTCCGATTACATGAAACGTACAACTTTTGATCTTAGCATGAAAAAGAACATCGTGCTAAAAATTGTGAAAAATAAACCAACAACCAATAAACAAAACCTTGTACAAAAAGGTAGGCATCCAAAGTTCTTTTGACATCAGGGTCATCAGAGATGTCATTCGCCGGCTATTTGCTAGAAATGAACACCTGTTCACAAGAAAGTTAAAACACATCCTTGCAGAGGATCACGACATTAATGTTTCTAGCTTTATGCTAAGCAAACTACTGCTCAAATTTGGATACAAGTACAAGAAGGTAGCAAACCAGAAACTTGTAATGTGTGAGAGATCTGATATTGTGAAAATAAGGTGTAACTATCTGAGAGAAATTAAGCAGGCAAGAGAGGATGGGTTCGAACCTATATATCTGGATGAGACCTGGTCAATGCAAACCATACTGCTGCCAGACAGTGGCTACCCACTGATCCAAGTGATGGTAGGAAAATACCAACAGACAAAGGTGAACGTTTAATCGTTCTTCATGCTGGTTCCCACAGTGGATTCCTACCTGGGTGTGATCTGGTATTTCGTTCAAAGAGAGCAAACGTAGCAAACCTATTTATAAGGTGTCGGATTACATGAAACGTACAACTTTTGCTCTTGGCATGAAAAAGAACATCGTGCTAAAAATTGTGAAAAATACACCAACAACCAATAAACAAAACCTTGTACAAAAAGGTAGGCATCCAAAGTTAGATTCTTTTGACATCAGGGTCATCAGAGATGTCATTCGCCGGCTATTTGCTAGAAATGAACACCTGTTCATACCTGTCCCGTGCATAGCTGACCTACATTGACGAACGTTGACCTTTATGACCTACAGGTCATTGGCTCCCTCCCTCTGCAAGTCGTCTGCGTTCTGTTGTTTATTTTGTTGACAGTTACATAGACAGATTCTTTAATACAAATGCATAAAATCGGTGATTTACAATGTGATTAGGTTGTCTGACAAAACATCCACTTGCACAGTTTGAGATCGATTGGGTCATTGGATGAAGAGATATTTACAAAAAACCGGGTCCACATGTATTTCATGCCAAACTATATATGTGTCGGTTATCAATAATAGGCTCAGGTTTTGGACTGATGCTTACTGCAAGATCTCTGAGTCGCAGGCAGGGTTCAGAGCTGGTTACTCGACTGTAGACAACATTTTCATTTTACAAACTATTATTAACAGAATTCTATCTAAGAAAGCGAAATTATATGCTTTTTTGTAGATTTTTCAAAAGCGTTTGATTTGGTGAATAGGGCTAAATTATGGTCTGTATTAAATGAGAAGGGCGTGTCTACCAAAATGTGGAATTGTGTCCGATCCATCTATGATTGTGTCAAATCTTGCGTTAAATCAAATAATATGTTTTCTGAAATGTTCCAGTGTAATATTGGAGTGCGTCAAGGGTGTGTCTCAAGCCCCTTTCTATTTTCTATTTTTATAGATGAATTGGCTAGTGAAATTGAGTCATCTTGTTATCCTGGTATACAGATGCATCCAGAACTAACACAAGTATTTCTCTTGTTGTTCGCTGACGATGTAGTACTCCTCTCTGATACTATCTGTGGCCTACAAAAGCGTATCAATGTTTTGGAAAAGTATTGTATTGAGTATGACCTTTCCGTCAATCTAGATAAATCCAAAATTGTTGTCTTTAGAAATTGAGGTAAGCTCTCTAAATATGAAAAGTGGTATTTGAATGGCATGAGAATAGATTGTGTCCCAGGGTATAAGTATTTGGGTGTTCTTCTTTCTCAAAGCTCGTCGTGGCATAAACATTTTGATAATTCCATTCTACAATCTAAAAAGGCCCTCTATAGTATTATTAGGTCACTATCGAAGCTAAAACCTATTCGCGGTGACATTTTCCTCAGGAACTTTGATTCAAAAGTCTTACAAATCCTACTTTATGGGGCTGAAGTCTGGGGCTTGGATTGTGATATTAGTTCACCAATCGAGAAAGTTCAAACTCTGGCTTGTAAATATCTGCTTTGTGTCAAAATATCAACCCCTAATCACATCGTTCGGGGTGAGTGTGGCAGATACCCTGTTTATGTTTATGCTTACAAACGCTGTATTAAATATTGGTATAAATTGTTGAATATGCCAGTATCTCGTCTGCCCAGAAAGTGCTACAACCTATTATTGTTAGATGCTAGCCATGGCAAAGCAAATTGGGTATCAAAGCTTAAGTTATTACTTTATAATATGGGATTTGGATATATATGGGAAAGACAGTCTATTAGTAGCTTGAATTCCTTCCTGTCTGAATTTATGATCAGGGCTCGGCATATATCCCATCAAGAATGGCATAACTCGTTATCATCAAGTTCTAAAACTTATTCATATTCTCTTTTCAAGTGTAATCTATCTATGGAACCATATCTAAGTGTTATTAACGTTAGTAAATTCTGCATTGCACTCGCACAGTTTCGCTGTGGTTCCTATCAATTAAATATTGAGACAGGTAGATACACAAATAAACCAAGACATCACAGGTTATGTAACATGTGCGACAATGGATATATTGAAAACGAGTTACTGTATCATTTCCTTTTAGTGTGTACTGCATATAGTTCTTTGCGCACACTATATATTCCTGCCAAGTTTTACACATACCCTTCTTTGTCAAACTACAATATCTTAATGACCTCCAACAATACCTTTGTCATCAGAAATATAGCAATGTTTGTCTAGTATGCTGTAAGACACCGCCAATCATATATGGCTGCAAATATGTAATATTTGTATTATGGGCCGATGGCCTACATACATTCTGCGAATAAAGAATTGAAATGTCATCTACTTTGTTGAACTCAGCACTCCAATGGTGTACTTCAATGGGATAGCTTCGACCACAACCCCGTTTTATGCGGACATATCGTCATCCATTTGTGTCGGGATCGTTTAGTTAAGGGTCAAAATCCGGTTTCAACCGACTTGCAGAAATAACAATAACGATTTGGTAGGTTTCACGAGTGGTGCTCGATAGGCCAATCATCCATGATTATGTTTACATTAAGTTTTGATCAATTGCATGTGATAGAAGCGTAGCGATCGACAAAGCAGGTGGGTAGGGTACAACGAAGTGTCCGGTCTTGTCATTGTGTATTGTACTGTGAAGTCAGGGGTCATCTCAAATGTATATATATATATATATATATATTGTACTGTGAAGTATATATATATTGTACTGTGAAGTCAGGGGTCATCTCAAATGTGTATATATATATATATATATATATATATATATATATTTGAGATGACCCCTGATTTCACATACACTACTGACAATTTATATATATATATATATATATATATATATATATATATATATATATATTTTTTTTTCATTCCTCGCTAAGACACGAGGGCCTGTTGATCCGCCTTGGCCTCAAGCGTCCCTCAACACGTTCAGGCAAGGCTGGTGTGGCCATTGAGAACCCTCCATCGGCCCTGTAACACTCCCGGGTTACAAAGGCTGCTTTATCCGAGGCTAGGAAGGCCACAATGTGACCGATTTCTTCTGGGGTAGCCGCTCGACCAACTGGCGTCGCATTTACCAGACTTCTATGAAACTGAAAAAGAGACAGTGATATGAATGATAGAAAGGATGTAGTATATGTGCTGCAATCAGAGAGTACTTTATAGTTTGGCATGAAATGCATGTGGACCCGGTTTTTTAAAAATATCTCTTCATCCAATGATCCAATCGATCTCAAACTGTGCAAGTGGATGTTTTGTCAGACAACCTAATCACCGATTTGATGCATTTGTATTAAAGAATCTGTCCATGTAACTGTCAACAAAATAAACAGCAGAACGCAGACTGCTTGCAGAGGGTGGGAGCCAATGACCTGTAACAGCGGCAGTGTTGGGTCATAAAGGTCAACGTTCGTCAATGTAGGTCAGCTATGCACGTGACAGGTTTGAAGAGGTGTCACAGGTCGTGAATAGGGTAAATTGGGTGCCAACTGTTAACCATCATACGGAGTTTGTTTCTCTGAGCTGTTCAACATTAACCACAAAACCCATTAGTGAGAATTATTCGGTAGGTTAAAATCTTTAAATTTGTAATGTTAATGTCATATTTTGTTTATGCAGTACCTAAGTGGAAATGCATTTAAAGAACACAGAAAGTATATTTACACTAAATCATTATTCGGACCACCTATGGTTAGAACTCAACAACTGTTAAAGCCCCGTTCCCTCGGACACATGCACACACAATCATGCACACTCATTGAAGAAAAGATAGAATGAAGACAAAAGTGTTATGTTTTGATGTCGTTCACATTCCAAATTAAGCAATGCATTTCTAATAGCTTTAAGCATATAGATAGTTAATATTTATATGTTCATGATAATTTTATGTGAAATGAGTGTTTCATGTTACACTATAAGTCGTTGGAATTAGTCAGTGCTGTCATTGTTAAAAGAAGTTATATTTCTTTGAGCATATCTGGCTGGATACTATTATTATCTGTAAATATAATAACAGAATTAAACTTCATCAAGTTCACTCCATTCTTCCACAGAGGAGTCATCAGTGTCCAGACGAATGACAGCTGGATTAACAGTTTGCTCCTTCAAGCCATCTTTGAGCCAGTACTCTTTCTCCATCTTCTGGACATGTTCAACACATGCATGCCAGCGTGCAATGTCAATGTCACATATAGCAGTGTTGACAATGTGCTTGACATCATTCAACTTGAATGATTGATTTTTCCGGGCCACTGTACTTTTAAGGTCTCCCCAGATAAGTTCGATTGGGTTGAGATCACAGTGGTACGGTGGTAATCTCAAGACCTTATGGCCGTGTTGGCGTAGCATGTTGTCAATGTTATATGTGGGTGGAGGTTTGTTAGGTTTAATCAAAGAGTACAACTGTGGTTTAGTGGCCTTAATTGAAAATTGTATATTGTTATTTGTTTGCCATTGCTGCATATCTGACTTCTTTGTATTGGAAGTTAGGCACCTATTGTTTGGATTTCGAACACTGTGATAGGGAGCATTGCCCATGACAACAAGACTTTTGTAAGGCAGAGCTGGTAACAATTGTTCCTCAACATACTGTTTGAAAACCGTTGAGTTTATTTCTGTATGATAGTCCCTACCATCTGCGCTCTTTGAACGAAATACCAGATCACACCCAGGTAGGAATCCACTGTGGGAACCAGCATGAAGAACGATTAAACGTTCACCTTTGTCTGTTGGTATTTTCCTACCATCACTTGGATCAGTGGGTAGCCACTGTCTGGCAGCAGTATGGTTTGCATTGACCAGGTCTCATCCAGATATATAGGTTCGAACCCATCCTCTCTTGCCTGCTTAATTTCTCTCAGATAGTTACACCTTATTTTCACAATATCAGATCTCTCACACATTACAAGTTTCTGGTTTGCTACCTTCTTGTACTTGTATCCAAATTTGAGCAGTAGTTTGCTTAGCATAAAGCTAGAAACATTAATGTCGTGATCCTCTGCAAGGATGTGTTTTAACTTTCTTGTGAACAGGTGTTCATTTCTAGCAAATAGCCGGCGAATGACATCTCTGATGACCCTGATGTCAAAAGAACTTTGGATGCCTACCTTTTGTACAAGGTTTTGTTTATTGGTTGTTGGTTTATTTTTCACAATTTTTAGCACGATGTTCTTTTTCATGCTAAGATCAAAAGTTGTACGTTTCATGTAATCGGACACCTTATAAATCGGTTTGCTACGTTTGCTCTCTTTTTAAAACAAATTCAACACATTTCTCATTAAACGTTTAGCATCATCTGAATAAGCTTTCATGATGACAGCTAGAAGTAGTCAATGTGAATGATCCAAACGGTCTATCACTGTGCAATGCACAGGTAACTATCATGAACTGCACGTGCATTTACCTTTATGACCCACCACTGCCGCTGTTACAGGTCATTGGCTCCCTCCCTCTGCAAGCATTCTGCGTTCTGCTGTTTATTTTGTTGACAGTTACATAGACAGATTCTTTAATACAAATGCATCAAATCGGTGATTTACAATGTGATTAGGTTGTCTGACAAAACATCCACTTGCACAGTTTGAGATCGATTGGGTCATTGGATGAAGAGATATTTACATAAAACCGGGTCCACATGCATTTCATGCCAAACTATAGGCTCTGGTACTATACCGTCTCCAATCGTTTCCCCATCCCACTTGGGAAGTCTGACTTACATAATGGGAAGTGGTGTTTGTTGTAGGAAGCGATTTAATAGGATTGGGAGGTCAGGCCGAGTGTCGTTTTATCGATCACAGACTTCCACACAAAATTTGGTGGTTTAAATTAACGCTCTTACCTGATCTATGTCTTCTTTAGTCAACAACTTGGACACTATGTGACTGGGTACATGGCCTGGGCTAAAACAATGAAAACAGCATAGTGAATACAGCTATCAACATGAACGCACCATTAACAGCAAATATAGCACTTATATAAAACAATAGACGCAGGGTGTCACACATGTGTTTTTTGTGATTTGTGATATCATTGATTGAGTGATAATTATTATGGGTCACACTGTT